TGAATTAAATTTGAGAATCATTTTCTACTTTACTTTAGAGTGACATAATATTTCAAAATAGTGTATTGTTTCATAAACCTACAACACGACACGATCAAATAAAGTTTTTAAATGCAAAGCATATAAAATCTGTTTTTTTTTTTTAAAGATAAAAGTCAAAATGACATTATGTTGGCAATACAATGTAAAATTGTCAATGCTATCAAATTTTCTATATAGAAAAGGCTTGTGTTGCCAACATAGTTACTAAATTTTTGACTTGGGGAATTATCTTTAAAAAAAAAACAGACTTTATGTATATTGTCACAGCCCCTATACGTCACAACAGGAGCGTGACCTGGGAGCGTAGATGGGGTTCAGGTAGAGAGAAACTCGCTTGGTATAGGTACAATAAGATATGCATTGAATAATAATAATATTACCCTAGAAATAGTATCATGAATTCATGACGTCTCTACTACGGAGGGACGTATTACTTACAGGCCACTCTGTATTATGTAAACTCTGTATACTTAGCGTAACTGAAGATTGAAACTGGGTTTGAGACAGTTCCAGGAAGGCGTTTCCCAATAAAGGTAGTTTGCACTGGACCTAGTCTGCTGAGTTCAATACTCCCCGAAGCGTCTGGTTCGAGACAGGTCCAGAAGCGCGTTTCCCATTGAAGGTAGTTTGCACTGGGAGGAGACTTAGCTAGAGGGGCTTTTCCCATTTGAGGTACTTTGAACTAGCCTTAGTCTGCCGGTAATGGATTTCGGCGAGGTATTTATACCAAATAAATGCTGACTCGTCGACACACTTTAGTAAAATTGATGTACAGAGTGGTATTTACTTGAGTAGTTGACAATATTTTATTACAGTTTTGGATAGACTTATTTTCCTGAAGTAGATTACTTCTAACCTGTCACTGCCGGGTTCTTTATTTTATGATTAAATGAACGGAAAAAAAAATTGAAACTATGTATTTACATTGCCTGGTATATTGGCCTAATCAACTAGTAAACCTTAAAAATTCCAAAAGCTTTTTTTAAAAGTAAACAGTCCGTACTATTCCCTAATGGGGTTGTAACTTTTCATCCAGACTTCAATTCACAAACACTAATGACGCACGACGTTCAGAGCAAAAGCACGCGAATAAAACCTTGAAAAGGGTCGTATCGTTTAAATCGAGTTTTAGCGAAACTCTCCCGACAAGTGAAGACTGAAGAGTGCTTGATGAACATTAAAATGCAATTAGTGAATTTCTCCCATAAATTAGCTCAAGTTGGCGATTGAAAATAGAAAAATAAATTAAATTTGTAATACCAGTAGTAGGTGGTGTATAGCAAACTAGACTTGAAAAAGATTAATTGTCAATTTTAGTGACCCTCATCAAGTCAAGGCCCAATAAAGTTGCATCGGGGGGTGTGAGGCTTTATTGCTTCGCCATTATTCTCGAGGATGTCACGTACAAAGGGATGTTCCCATTCAGAGATTGGAAACTGGATTGTTACAAGTCTCGGCGTATTCTCTCATTTCCGTCCGCCGATGGTAAATTTCAATATAAACGTGCGTAGTATTAATAATTGTTTGGACAGAAAACAAATTCAAGCACATTTATTACCAAAATATATATTATTTATTTGCACTAAATGTGAATTTCAAGAACATTTGCAAATATGTCTTCTGAATGTTCCCTTGTCCCTAAGAAAATGTTCAAGGGTTTTCTTTGAATAGAAAAGAATTTACGTAATTTGAAAGTCTTTTGTAGGGTATCCAATGTAAATTTTGAAAGAAAATGGATTAAAATACAATTTAAGTAAATGTAAAATATTTGAGTACAGGTTCACAGAAATAACAGATCGGCAGTTTCATGATGAACATCCAGAAAGTCTAACAGATGTCAAGAATTTAGGGATTTTTATTTTGATTGCTTTAGAGATCACTTTGATTGTGTTGTAAATAAATCCTCGAAGCTACTTAGTTTTATGAGGCGTATAGTCTCTCAGAATATGACAATGTTAGCTCCTGTCTTGAACGTCTATGTTGCTTTTAAATCCTATTCATTCTGGAATATGGTAGCAGTGTGTGATTTGTAAATAAATGTCGCAAGAAACATTGAAAGCGGGTACAAAGAAACTTTTCAAGATATGTGGCCTATAAAATTGGCAGTTGACCACATTGACTATATTGATATCATGTATTTCTCTTCTTTTTCCGCCCTTGAAAATGCGAGGATTATCCTTGCTTTGATATTTTTAAATAAACCGATATCGGGTACTTCACAGAGTTACTTTGAAAGATACCTGACCGAATCGCCAGAGGTTATGAAATTTCCACATCAAACAACATGCGGAAATGGTTGGATGAACAGGGACATACTAGAATTGATGGAAAAGACGTAGGCAGTGTAAGATTGAAAGTTACCGACACTTTCAAGGCAAATAGGGGTTGCAAACAAAAATTGGCTATAGCAGACAAATGCGCAGAAGCCTTGAATCTTGAATCACCTTGACGGCAGCATTCATCTCCACCAAAAAGTAAAGAACACCAAGCTGGAATTGATGGATGGAATGAAATTCACACTGTTGGGAACATGAAAAACTTATATGGCTTGAATTATGACTAAGACAGACCACAGAAGCACAGAACGTCATTTCTGCGTTCCTCGCCATCTGGGACAAAATATATTCCGGATATCAAGTTATCAGAAAATAATAAAGTTCCAGGGCCATACAACGTTGGTCAAGTTTTACAATAATATCTACTGCTCTGAAAAAACTGGCAGAGATTGGCTTCGTTTTTAATTTAGGTATATAACCTTGTGAGCAAAGTAAAAAAGTAGATCAAATAGTTGACTTAGATCAGTGAAAAAATCAATCCAACTAGACAATAGAGGAACTATTTGTCCTCATAACCACTGCTTATATAGATGATCTGATCCTTTCTGCTGCGTAGTATAAATGGGATAAAACCAAAGTACCCACTTTAAGAGCAGACCAAGAAATATAAGTCCAAATTTCAGTGTTGAGAACATCAACTTTTATTGTTTGTTTGAAGGTGTAGACATCAGTGTTTCAATGAATAAAAAACTTGGACTTCCATTAACTACTTTTTGGTTCATATTCGACAGTCTTGTATCTACAGACGTTTTCATTGGGATTGAAAACGATTCTAGATACAAGACAATAATTCCGTTGTGACAAGTAACCAAATGATAATGGAAGTTCAAGATTTCTCAATCATTAACTTTTAGGTTGTTAATACAAGGCTGTATTGTAATTCACATACTAATTTGGTCTTCTTCGGTCTTTTTAGGTTTCAGGGTTCCCAGTTTTTTCACTGAATATTCTATTTTTCTGACGTGGGTTTCAGCATTTCAACATTGATGTTTACCTTTGGGCGAGAAATTTACAAATTGCAATGAGTCATGGTCTATTGAAGGGCGGGAAGAGCTCCTCAAAGAAATTTATATGTTTTGAATGGGTATAAAAACCAAACTGAAGTGGAGGCTAATAAGTTTTAATTTTTGTATCTTGAGGCGTGTAAAAACTGCAAAGGAAAATTTAGCTTGGGGGTTTCAAAACGGTAATAAGGGCCTCTAGTCTTACTTTCCAGCTTTTCATATAATATACCATTTTGCAAAAAAATCATATAAAATTCCTTTTAAAAAAATTGAATTCCTAAAACGCCAGACCTCCACTAATTATTAAAGCTGTCATTATATATAATTTGTATAAAAAGTTGGAACCTAAACAACAAATAATTCAGTTCAACAGCCCTATTAATTTTCTAGCTATTTTAAAACAATTCTGCAAGTCAGGAACTAGTGGAAAGTTGAAATTTTGAGGACTTTTTCCTGAAGGTTCAATGTAAAAAATACTAAAAACTCAAAGGGATTGAATTGAGTTATTATTAATGGAGTTATGACTTTTTTTAAATAATGTTGTTTTGTAAAGTAATACTCTACAAACAATTTTTTCACTCAAAAACTGAAGTGAGTGGAAAGTTGAAATTTTGAGGACTTTTTCCTGAAGGTTCAATGTAAAAAATACTAAAAACTCAAAGGGATTGAATTGAGTTATTTAAAACAGTGAATATACCGGTTGATAACCAAACAAGCGACAACTCTGGATGGGCCATTATCCAAGTTTTGTTTGGAGGAAAACTTTTAAGGCCGACTTAGGACCACAGTTTCCTGAAAAGATTACCAGACAGTAACGGATGGCCTAAATCTTTTTATTTATTTTTTAGAGAGCTTCGACGCCAGAAACGATGTATTTTTTTTTTTTAAATTCTTGATTATGGATGAGGTTGCAATTTGGTTTTACAATTTTGTATTTTAATCCATCAGTTTTGGAAACTGCGTTAATTTCACTGATGAGGCGCAAAAATACCAAAACGCATCAGTGCTATGACAACTGTCAAATTTCATGGTAATGGTACTTCAGAAACCTCTTGGTGCAACGTTTGGTTCCGAACAAACTGCTAGGGATTCTGTCGGAAATTTATACTAGGAAATAGTGTTCAGATATGCCAAACCATACTCGACTGAAATGTTTGTAGTTGTTTAGTTACATGAATCAGTAAAAAGTGAAAATGATCACTCTTCTCTTTATCAAAATAGCTTCATCAATAATTTTGATAATATAGTTCCTGCAGTATAAGGTCAAGCTATAATTATTATTGTTGCATTCAAATTATCAATAGTTTCATAAATTTAACCCAACCCTGATGTAAGAATCTATAGTTTTCTCCAAACATTTTTTTTTAATACGTATAGGTAGGGATTTCAACCAAAAATGCCGCATTATAGCATTATAAAGCCGAACTTTTAACTATGACTCGTAGTTCGAAACTTTCTCGATTCGATATTAACTTATCTTCTCTCCTGCTGTAACTTAAATTGAAACTGGGGCCATTCCAATCATGAAGCGTCGGTAAGGCCAATATCGTTAAAGTAGGTCTCGAACTTTCTTCATCAGACATAAAATCAATGACTACTAACTAGATAATTAACTTACCATATTAAATGTGTGGTAAAAAGGAATGCTCCAGGTACGACCAAGTCATCTGATCCGACACTCCAACGTCGTCTGAACACTATTAAACCAGGCATTATGTCGAAAGTTTATAGTCTTTTCGTTTTGTTAGCACATCACTAACAGGAAATATTTAGATTTTTTTTTCACTAATTTTAGTTTCACTTTGTTGTTGCACATTTTGTTTCTAGCAGTTGCACCTGGAACAAAAATACAGTTAGACTATGAGGGACTTTGGAAACTATTAACATAAGGTAGATGATAAATTTAAGATTCACGATATACATTGTGCCAATAAATTACAGGATCGGATACAAAATATTATATTGTTTAAGAACTATGTATGGTGTTGTTAAAATATACTGCTGCTGCACAGGACAACTTTGAACACTTATGTTACTTATTGGGTTTTAGTAACAAAGCTAAGGATTTGCGAAGTGAGTAAAGGACACACATGAATCAGAAAAAAAGGTGATATTTGAATTCAAGAGTTCAGCTACAAAACCCTAAGTTAACATTGTAGCATAAGAGGCATTGTTTGATGGTATATGAGGTAATCTGCAGTATATGATCAAAACCATTCTGATGGCCAGGTTAGAGATATTGTCATGGCCTGGGATTATGATAAATTAGGTAATCATCTGTCAATATATGTGCAGGCAGAATCTTAGTTAATTTGTTCGACAAAGATTGAATGCAGCCAAATAATACAGGAATATCCAGAAAATCATGTAGTGGTGTCTGTTAGTAACATTGTGGATCACGAATTCGTTTTCCAGTAAAACAACTCAGCAATCCGAGCACAAAATATTCTCTCAGGATCATGAGAACTCTGTGATGTGGATCAAGCCTCAACTCCATAATAAATTAAATTATTCTTTTCTTCGTATATGCAAACTTTCCAATTAGCCCAGTCTTTCCAAGAATTCTTTGGGTTAGTTGGGTAAGTAGATTAGCTAAGAGATTTATTCGAGTTCTGTTTTGCATTCAATGATAATCCATTTGCCAAAAATGCTATTCTAAAAATGATGCAGTTCCGAAATATTTCTCGAAAACACGAGTGTAGTTGATGATAAGCATGAAGACATTCAGAGAAAGGTGATGCGGATATACTTTATTCACTAAGATCATTACGTGTAATTTTTGTTCCCACACGAAAGTATGTTTAATTATGAAGGTCATCGATGAACTCACCCATATGTATCTGCTCATTCAGTTCTGGTAAAGTCTTGCTAAAAAAAACACAAGACAAAACAAATATACACCACACGTTGACTTGTTTAACTTTTGTGTTTAACATTGCTGTTTTCGTTGGAAACTTTCAGGTTTCCTAAGTTTTTGGAGCGTTGCCCATATTGTTACTGGCGTAGCAAAATATTACTTTTTTGGCCAAACAATGTTCTCCTAACGTAAGGAACAATACCTACTGCAATTTTTTAATTTCTCAATAGAAATTCCTTAACGTATCGTCTATGGTTGTTGTTAAATTTGTATAATTTTTGCTAGTGACGATAACTTCATTTGGACAATGCTCACTTAAAGCTTAACACATTCATAGAACAAATTTTATGAAATACTCCATTGATTCCAGCTCGACTTTTTCGCCTCAATTTACAGCAAGTGTGCTGCTCTAAAAAGCAAAAAATGTCAAACTTGCATCACTGTTTTAAACTCCCTATATAATAGATATCGGAGAAAGCAGTAATTGAAGGACGGAATATACATATATATGTTTCATGGATCTAGAGAAAACTTTTGATTGGTTTAGAATAGATAAGACATATATATGGATAATAATGGATGTAAACTCAGGTGGAAGGACATTAAACTACGTGAAAACAAAACAGGAAGAATCAGAAATATGTATGAGAGTACTTGGGCCAGGGTTTCATTCTCCCCAAGTCCTCTATTATTTTCACTAATCTTAGACGACACGAAAAAGAACGTCAGAACTTGTGAAGTTGGATATTGGAACATGGAAGTTTGTTGCATATATGTATGACATTATAGTGATAGTAGGATAGAAAAATACTTAAAAAGTTTGGAATGAAGCAATATATCCATGGGAAGGCTATTAGCATGTTTTAAAGGAAGCTTAGGGCACAAGTTGAACTCAGGTTCATCATCAAGCATACCTATAATTTAACTTGCCCAACTTGTGAAGCTTTCCAGATAAAATGATTCTATATAGTTTCATATTTTACAAAATACCAGCACAAATCACTTGGACATAGATACAATTTAACTTGCCTATTTTAACGAAATTTTTAAAAGTGTTTCTAGATTGTTTCATTTAACTTTTATGTCATACATTCATAAGGCATATTTTGTGAAAGTTTCCAAATGAAGTAAGTGATGCAGTGATGGTTTTCTAGTTTTCATTTATATCGCAACTTCATTGGACCTAAAATTTGATTTCCTCTTGTTTTGAAGAAACTCGTTTCAATAGAATAACAGTCTGCTTATAGCAAAAGTCAGCAAAAGGTCAATTAGCCATACAATACATTGAAATCCAGTCACAAAATCGTCTTAATTTCTCTTGTCATCCATTAAATCAAAGTTATTATGGCATTTATACGTTAAACATTACATCATTCAAACAAATGTTGCTGTTTACACCATCCACTCCCGAAGCTCTATTATATACGTCAACAAATCTCGGTCAATCAATTTTTAATGGTATTTTGCATTCCACATGGTTGATTAATTGAACGCATATCATCTTGTTTTTCAAGTCAATTATCTGTCTTTTGAATAAATAAGATTTCAAACTTATAAGCTGGATTAAATTTAAAATGGCTAATATTACTCCCCTAAAAACTTGTTCTTTTAAGCTACAAATTTCATTTGAGTGCCATGCAAATGAGTCCTTGTTCCTTCTCATCACCCCATCATCTCTCCGGTGTACTTTTTAGAGTGCAAGAAATTAATCCAGTCGTTAAAATGGAAAACGTCAGAAATGAAATATAAACGGCCGCGCGTTCACTTCCAACCGTCAAAAAGCCACCCTCTGTGCTAGCCCTCCCTTACACGTAGAGTGAGAGGGACGAAAAATGGTTATTTTAATTGCTTTTAGGGGAACGATGAATTGAATTTTGCTTCAATTTCATAAATTCAATTTCCACAAAGATACATAAACTGGTCATCAAAAAGTTCGGATAATTCGCAAACGTTTGGATACATGTACCTATAGGACAAGTCAGAATCTGCCCCTATTGGAATACCAGATCTCTTCTGTCAGAGGAGCCAGAGGGTGGACTCTTTCTGCTACAAGAAGAACTCGACCATTATGAGATATCATTATTGAGGCCATAGGAAAGGGCGAAAATCTGGTAAAAAATCAAGTAAAAATGATTCAACGGCAATCGCCAACACTAGGAATATGACCTAGAATGATTGGAATAGTTTTGTTAGGGGCTTCACAAGTTTATTGCTTTCATACATAGTTGAGTTTTTCATTCATTTTTAGTCCTGACGCTTCTCAAGAAACTAAATTGTTTTAAAACGTCTTTCTTTACTGCCGGTTTCTATGTATTCTGTCTGTTGTCTCTACTTTTTCTATAAGGTTATTGTGGTAACAATTTCATGATTTTTTATTGTTCTAATGCTATTTATTATTCTTCAATTTTCTGCGTTTGTCATATTAATATGCGTATGGTACAGTTACTTTTCTACGACTCTGTAATTTTCAGTTTTACGTTTTTTTATTTACCACCCCTCTATGTTTCGTTCCTCTAAAGATTTTATATTGTAGGTATATCTTGTTTGTTTCTATGTTCCGTTGTCTCTTGCGATGTTTCTTTCAGGGCTAGAGATTTTTGTTTAAGGAATATAGTGGTCACTTCTACAGGTCGGTCCCCTATACATGCTTTTACATCCTGGAAATAAGATATTTCAACTCTGCATCCCATAAGTGTAGTTTAATAAACGATTTTCGTTGTTTAGTTAAATTTTTTCACTTGTATTAATCTATTTCTTCATGAGAAAAGTATCTACTCAAAATTTCAATGTTATTATGTTGGCTTATTTATCAGCCTTTCCCCATTGTTATTCGTTACAGTCTCGCTTTTTCTACAACCTTGTCTTTACTTTTTCCTTCTGTTCGTACATTAAAGTCTCCTTGTTATTTGCAAGGAGTCAGCAGACTTGCAATATAATTTTTCTTGAACTTTCTACTTTCATGATTTGATCACTGAGTTGTTGATATAATGTGTATTTTATACTGAGATGTTATACTTCCAATGATATTATATGTTTCCAAAATGCGGCAACAGCAGCACATCAAAAAGGAAAATAAAGATCCTCCATATCAATGTACGTTCTCTGAGAAGGAAAGTTGTTGAGGTAGAAGCTTTTATTGCAGACAAGGACATTGACATAATTTGTCTGACGGAGCACTGGATGACCAAAGAAGAAATACAGGTTGTTCAAATACAGGGCTATTCACTCAGAGCCTACTCCTCAAGATGTGAATCAGTTGGAGGTGGGACTGCCCTATTCACCACAGATTTTTTAGTCGCAAATGACATAAATATAATATTGAAAAATGTATAGAATTATGTTGTGTATATGTGGAAAGCTTAAATGTTTTTATTTTAAATTTTTATAGGTCTCCCTCGGGATGTCTTGACATCTTCACAAGGGAGCTTGAGGGCTTACTTACGAGGCTGGGGTCATGTAAACAAATAGTGATATTAGGGGACTTCAATGTTCATTTCAATACTTCTGAGGCTGCTTGTGTTCGACTTGCGACTTTTTTGGTGGCTTTGGTCTGGCGCAAACAATCTATGAGCCTACTCGGGGAGCTTCCTCTCTGGATAATTTGTTTGTCAGTTTGGAAGTCGGGGTATGTGATTCTGGGGTATTTGACTTGGGAGTCTCAGATCACAAGGGTCAGATCCTGGAGCTCTTGATGGAAGGGCCCCCAAAAGTTGTGGAGAAAAAAAAAGTATGCAGGCCCATAACACAGCAAGGCCTGTTTGCATTCCATGGTATCTTGGATGCTGATTCTTGGAATTTTGTCACTGTGGAGGGTATGAATACGAACCAAAAATTTAATAAATTCATGAACATTTTGGAGCAAGCCTGCCTGCACTCATTTCCTGAAAGGTCCTATAGGATCAGATCAGACCAAGGAAATAACATTTCCTGGTTCAGTGAGGAGCTGAAGGCAATGCGTGAGCGACTAATGTTTTTGAGAGATCTAAGTAGACAATACGGGCATGTGAGTACTCAACATTATAAAAACTATAAAGCTGTTTATAAAAATACTATTAAACAAGCCAAAGTGCAGTCTAATGACAATCTTATTAATACTTTTAACAATCCAACTAGAACCATCTGATCATAAACGCACACAGAGGTGAAACAAAAAAATTATCAGATGTTACCCACTTGTCACCGGATGATTTCAATGACTTTTTCTCAAGCATCGCTGAGAATGTAGTTGGAGGTATTCCAAATGTGGGTAACCCACCAGATGCATATTTGTCTTCTCTTGTCCCACCTCTGGTTTCTTTTGGCTTTTCACAAGTTACATATCACGAAGTGCGGGAGGTGATTGATAGTCTCAAAATGAAAAATAGCAGGGATATTTTTGGTCTTCATATGAAAATGATAAAAACTGTCAAAAACGTTATTTTAATACCTTTAACAAAGCTTATAAGTTTGGGTTTCAGAGAGAATGTGTTCCCAGATGTTCTGAAAAAAGCCACAGTGAAACCATTTTTTAAAAAAAAGGGGATACCAACTTGCCTGAAAACTACAGACCGATATCCCTGTTGCCAATTATTTCCAAAATATTCGAGAAATGTATAGCTCTGCAACTGGCAAAGTTTTTCGAAGCAAGTGGTCTTTTCTCACCCTGTCAGTTTGGTTTCCGTCAAGGTAAAAATACGGTGATGGGTATTTTGGACCTCATCTCGGGCATCGTGAAAGCTTTTCAGGATAGGCAATATAGCACGGTCTTGTTTTGTGATCTCAGTAAGGCCTTCGACTGCGTCAACCATGGTATCGGTATCCTCCTGCAGAAGCTAGAAGCATGCAACTTTCAACCCAGCAGTATCAAACTGATAAAATCCTATCTTAATAACAGGTGCCAAAACGTGAGGTGTGATGGTGTGACATCAGCAGAGAGGGTGGTGAACATTGGTGTTCCACAGGGTTCCATTTTGGGCCCTATTCTCTTTCTCATTTACATCAATGACTTACCAGCAAATGGCGCCAGTGAGCATTTCACCCTCTATGCTGATGACACAACAATTTCTTTTGCTGGAGCCACACTAGACTCTGTGTACGCTGGATCCATGGACGCGCAGGCGAGGGCTGAAACATGGTTTGCGTCGAACAGGCTGTTGCTGAACAGAGAAAAAACCAAAAGAATGGTTTTTGCGATGAGAGATGTTGGTGACTGTGAGGATGGTCTGACGGAGGCAGTATTTTTGGGTGTCACGCTAGACTCAAAGCTACAGTGGGGACCTCATATCAACCAGGTTGCCAAAAAACTAGCAAAGGGCGTTTATGTTGTTAGGAACCTGTCAGCTTGTGTCTCTTTGCCTGTACTGAGAGTGGCATATTTTGCAATCTTTCATTCCCATATATCCTACGCGATTCTGGCCTGGGGGCACTCTGCGGGAGTTCATAGATTATTTGCGCTGCAGCGGAGAGTGGTGAGGATGATGGCACGCCTTGGTTATAGGGATGAGTGTAAGGGGGCATTTGTCTCTTTGGGAATACTTACGATTCCATCCCTGTATATTCTTGAGAATCTGCTTCTTGCAAAGAGCAGTAGGAACTATCAGCAGCATGAAAATACTCACCAATATGACACCAGGAATAAAAATAAACTTAAGCTTTTATACTGGCGCCTCAAAAGATGTCAAGACGGCCCGGGTTATTGGGCAATCAAATTTTTTTAAGTTTTACCCCAAAATATCAGAGAACTTCCCTACAATGTCTTTCATAGGAAAGTTAAGGAGATTGTTTTAAAGAACAGTTTTTATTCATTCTCTGAATTTCTAGATTTTGAATTTTAAATGAAATGTATATTGTTAATATGTGTTTTTAGCTTTTTTTTTATAATTATTATGTAAGGCAAATGTCTAGATTTAAGTTTAATGCCTCCTTGTAGTTTGTATCTATTTTGATTTTTGACGTGTGTAAACATTATTTGTACTGGCATGATTAATAAATGATTGATTGATGATTGATTGTCCTTTCTTTTGCTCATGATTCTATCTCAATCTCAACCCCACTGAAAAAAATGATCATACTGAGCCTTGTCGTTTTATTATGGTTTTTGTGGCGACAATCAATTTCCAATCTTCCTATAGTGATTCCTTGGAAGTTCCATATTAATTACAGAAACAAAATTACAAAAAAAAAAATATTTTTTGAGAATTTTTTAGTAATGGCCCTTAATTTGTTTCGAAAAGAACCCTACATTAAATAACTATCATTGAAAATCGCAAATCAAGAGTAAATTGAAATAATGTTAATGGTTATTGGCCTGTTGGTTCCATGTCCAATGTCCAAGTTATGTTATGTTAATAATAGCACGTGCCTTGCATTTAATTTATTTAAAACACCAATTACAATTATAACTTATTACTGCACCACTAATTGGGTTTCATTTTCAGTTGCTAGAGTGACTAAAAGGAAGTGTGCTTAGCTGCTTAGCTTAACAGAAATCTTATTGAATATATGACGTTAAGGTCAGATTTAAATGAATCATACGCGCATTACACCGATTTATTATCAATGGTATACATTATAAGGTCAGTGGCCTTCTATGTTAAATTTATTTATCTAGATCGCTTTTTAATGTTTCTGTTGGTTAAATATTGATTAAAAGGTAAATTCCATCGACGTAAAACACACACCAAGCATTTCAGACAATACAAACAATTTTTGTTGATTATGCAAAAATGTGTTTTTTTTTTTAGTTTATAATCTTGGACTTTATGCAGAAACACATATTTTATTATAATTATTGTAGGTATGAGTAATAATTATTGATAATGAAATATTTAAGTATATCAAAACCGCGCGTAATGGTATATTTAGCGTTATTTATGCAAAATGAATAAGTATCTGATTTTTGTGTAAAGCCATAATTTGTATATTTTTTTCTACTCAACATCCCTCCACTCAACATTTTTTTTTTAGGTTGTAGGGGAACATTAAAGAAAAAATATGTTTTAAATGTCACTACATAGTCTTATCTTACGTAGGTATATTTTTTCATGTGCTGATTTGTATTGAGATTTTATACTTCAGATCAATTTATATTAAATAGATATGAATACAAAACTAAAATATTTATGTTATAAGTGTATTATTACATAATTAATCCAGATGTTTCAGATCCGGGTTGCAAAGAGGTCAATTAAGTAATTTCCAAACATTTTTACTCAAGTTTCTCAAAAAAAATTGTTAACACTTAAATTTTCTGTTTTTTAAATTTTGCTATGGGAAATTTTAAAAACATTTCATTGTCCTTATTTTCAACTATTGGAAATATAAAATAAAATGTATTTACCAAATTTGTTCAATAGTTATAACAATATAAAGATTTCTGTTCCATTTTTATATCGGCCCTTTTTAATCCGAATCCCGTTGCGAGGGTGCGCATTTTTTAACTAACCGCCCGCACAAAATTGTCCATATTTTTCGACTAATCAATTATCGTATTTTCAAAAAAATAAGGTCTCATTCAAACAAAAAATCAAATCGAACCGAATGTAGAATTTACAAAAACGAATTTCAGTTTGGTTGATTTTTTTCCGATAAAAAGACGCGTCGAGTTGTCGGCCCGCAGGCATCAAGCAGAAGCGCCAACTGACGGTTTAAATAAACGCGAACCGTCTACAGGCCCGCCGCGCCGCACTGATAAGAAAATGAGTCCGAGAAAGATAGACGATGATACGTGAAAAAGGACAGACATCGAATACAGGGTCGGGATTTTGGCTAAGGGCAAAAAAAGGGAACTCTTATATATGATTCAGAATTGTTTGCTTGTTGCCTGTCAGATGGATGTTCTCCTACTGTAATTATAGTGGTAAGATAAAACCTGTTTTATAGATCTTTGCCATGATTTCCAGTCCGTGGGTTTGCGCCGGCAGAATGTAGATCACAAGTTTTTGCCTTAAGGAAATAGAGGGTATATTCTGGTCTGAATCTCACCTTGCCAAAGGTTGTCCAGTCTAGCTGATTTCTACGTGATATTGATTGCCATCTCGTATCAATGTCGCACTTTGAATCTATAATTTTCTATGTGGAATGAAATTATGGAAATTGCGGCCACAGTGACACGTGATCTATAATTTCTTTGTTAAAAAACAAGTGTCGTCACTGAAATGCTTTTATGTTAAGTAATAGAGCTATTAGCTATAGACACTCCATCCTATTTGCGTCCATGGCTTCATACTTCTTCTTGTTCTTATAGTGCATCTCCTATCGGATATTGCTATCATCACAGCAATCCGGACCTTGTTGATTGCAACTCTGAGCAGTTGAACATTGCTACAATTAAACCAATCCCTGCCAATGCTCCGCTTTCCACTAATCTTTCACTGGACTATCAGTTGGAGAAGCGTGTATTTCTGTGATTTCGCACTCTTTTTGCATCTGGTGCAGCACTTCGGCATTAGTAATTCCAGGAAATAAGTCACATTAATACGATAGCACTACATTTCGAAAGCTTGTAGTTTGTTTATGAGGTTTTCCTTGAGGGTGCATATTTCAACTCCATACAAAAGAGCGGAAAAAACGTAACAATGAAGCATCCGCATCCTAAGTTCCATGTTAATATCCCTTGTAAATAAATTTCCCATTTTTATAAATGTTGATCTGGCTTTCTCTATCTTTGTTCTTATGTCTCTTGTGTGATCACCCGTTTGCTCTATCCAAGTTCCTAAATATTTATGTGGGCACATTCTCTATCATGGTTTGAGGTTCAGATTTTGTGGGAACTTTAACTAAACTAACATTAACTTGGTTTTCTTAAAGTTAATTTTTAGTCCGTAATCATCACATCGATCATTTAGTTTTTCTAAAAGGTGTTGTGTGTTTTCAAGATTGCTCGTTAACAAAACGGTGTCATGAGCATATTTTATATTATTAATCACTTCCCTATTTATACCTACTCCTACTAACTCATCTTCTAAGTTTGATGGTTGGTTTCCCTAAAAATAGCTCCGCTATATAGGTTAAAGAGAAGCGACGATAGAATGCAACCTTGTCTCACACCACGACGATTCTCCATTTTTTCTGTTGGTATGTTTTCTATACCATGGTATTAGCTTTCTGGCCCCAATATAGGTTACTAATTATTCTAACGTCGTCCAAGTCAATGTTTTTGCTGATGTAACTTGTCATGTTTCGCTTTGTCAAAGGCTTTCTCGAAATCGATGTAACATGCATATACCTCATGGTTTATATCGAGACAGCCCTGGAAAGAACCTCAATCCCAATAAGTGCCCCTGGTATTTCAATTTTTTTCCAGAATCCAAACTGTGTGTTGCTTATGTGTTCCTCGAATCTTCTGTAAATTCTTTGGTGGATGATCTTTAAAAACAACTTCAAGGTGTGGCACATAAGTTCAATGGTTCAGTAATCTCAGCATTCTCTTGGATTTGGATTCTTGGATATGAGCACAAAAGTGGATATTAACCATTGTTTAGGAATTTCTTCCTTATCATAAATGCAATTAAAGTGGTCTAGCTGAATATCAATTACGTCATTATCAAAGAGTTTGATAAGCTCAATGGGTATCTAATCAAGATCAGCAGCTTTACCGGGTTTCTAGTCTCCAGGCATATACTGTTTCTGATGTTAATATTTTTAAGCGCACATTGCTTGATTCTAAGACAGACTTTAGAGAACTTTCATTATCGAATTGTTCCAACAGGTATGCTTTCCACCTTTTAAATTTGTCCCCTACGTCAGTATGTATCCTAAATAATATTACTAGCTGCATTGACCCTGTTGCATCCAGCCATTTCCTCTTTATTTTTGTGCATGTGAAAGCTGTCAAATTTCTTTTCTACTACTTCGGGGTATTTCCTCACATTGTTAGGTATTCTTCTTTTGCTTCCTCAATTTTTCTCTGTATGTACTACATCTTTATTGTCTATGCTCTTTCTCCCATAAGATCTAGAATTTCTGATGCTTAGGGCTTGTTCTTGGGTTTTTTTGCTTGTTAGATATTTTTTAACCATTGTTTCTAGCCCTGTTTATATTTGCTTCCACTTTCCATTCACACTGACTGCATTCGATGTATTGGTCTCTCATACATTCGCTGGCCTCCTTCTTAACTGTGTCTTGGATTTCAGAATTCTCAAGGAGTTTCCGATCTATATGTATAGTTGTTGGGGCCTTTTATCTTTTTCATCTTTATATTAAGCTATAACTAGGTTGTGGTGGGAATTAATATCAGCCTCTGATGGGTATGTTTTTACAGCTTTGACTGAGTTCTTATAGCGATTGACAATGAGGATGTAGTCTATTTGGTTTCTAACTGTATTTGGTGGATTTCCAGGTGTACAATCTACGATCTGGTAGTTTGAAGAAGGTTTTTGTTATCATAAGATCTCTAACTTGACAGAGCTCTGCCAGTCTATCCCCCTATTATTCCTTTGTCCCAGGCCAAAACTCCCTGTTGTGGTTCAACATTGACTGTAGTATATTATTGCTTGTAGCTTCTATCGCTTTCCAGAATTTCAGGTCAAGAAGTTTATTTTTTTCGTCAGAAAATATAAATGACAGAAATATATGAAGCATGCAAGATATATTAGGTAGATAAATCATGATCAGTACGTTGTTAAACATGAATTAACTGCAGAAATACAAACACGAACGCAGTTTGCTCTTTCTTCGCCCTATGCCTTTCTGCACATTAATTCCTGTGGTCGTGAATTCTATTTTTGATTCTTTGTTTAGTTTGTCCTATGTAGGTACACTCCTAGGTATTCCAAACAGGTAATTTTATATATCAGAAGATTCGAATTATGGTCAAAGGGTAGTTTGTCTTTCATGGAATTATAAAGATTGCCCACAGTTTTATTATGGTAGCAAACGACTCATTGAGTTTCTGTAGTCAACACTGATCTCAATTTTTCGAACAAACTTTGGGTTAGTATTGGTAAGTTTGGGCTACTTTGAGTTAGTATTGGTAATTTTAGGTTAGTATTGCTAAGTTTGGGATACTCTAAGTGACTATTGGTAAGTTTGGGTTACTTTGGGTTAGTATTGGTGAGTTTGAGTTACTTTGAGTCAGTATATTGGTAAGTTTGCGTTAGTATTGGTAAGTTTCTGATACTTTGGGCAAGAGGTGAACCACTTTGCGCAATACTGTCACAAATTCAGCGGAAATCTCGCGAAATCCTTCAAAACCCCCAGGAAATCTGCGCGCAATCTTGGAAATCGATGCGCAATCTCGCGAAATCTTTGCGAAATCCTGCGCAATCCCGCGAAATCTGTGCGAAATCCAGCGTTAGCATTGAGAAATCCCTTCAAATTGGGAAATCGGAGTCTCTTAGAAAGTTTGCACGGCAACTAAACCCAACCAATAATATGGCGAACGCGCAGATGCCAACCAAATCCATTTATTAAACATAACTTAACCTAATTCAATTTACGGGTATATGTACTACTGCAAAGAGGAGTAGTAACCTGGATTTGGAAAATCAAGCCGTTTTTTTCCAGGTAATTTGGCACCAAGAAAATGGCGCTTATGGCAATTGAATGCTTTATCTGTATCTTGGTGCCAAACACCTGCCAAAAACTTGGCTTCACTTCAGTTTCATGAGCAGAATGGCTACTCCTTATGTCCGTAGGACAGCGCTTTCCTGCTCTAAAACTACTGCACAGTTCTTGACATATGAGAAATTTTACAATTCTTAAACCACTCAACTATTGACTTCAAGTCAGCTTGCAACTTGACAACATCCTCTTTAACAGATATGGTTTTGAACAGCTTAAAATCGTCTGCATATACCAAGACAATATGTGAATTTACACTGTCAAACAAGTCTCTGATAAACAATATAAAAAGCAATTGCCCAAGTTTACTACCCTGTGGGACTCCTGAGGTTGATATATACAGGGTGGGGATTTTAACTGGAACTAATTCGCTGGAGCCTTCGGATGAAATATGTCAACAAAACGCAAAAACACGTCGATTAAGAATTTTTGCTTAAAATTTTTTACATTAATTTTTGTATACAGGGTGTTCCAAGAACAGCTGTACGGTTATCAACTTTATTTTTTTAAATGGTAGCCCCCGTATATTATGACATTTCTGGATTCTGCGGATAATTCCAGACATATTTCATGTATAATGTCATATACCTATTTTCAATTGTTTCGGAAATATTGATAGTTGAAAATTGACTTTTTGCAAATTTAAAAGCTGTGAAATCTAAACTGTTTATTTTACAGCAAAACCGATCATACATTCTTGTCTTAGTTTTTCATAAACTAACATCTGATATCAACTTTGAATTTAATCCATGATTAAAAATTCTTGTTAAATTTAAAGTTGTTGTCAAATTATTAGCCTATAAAATCGGGTTTGCTGTAAAATTAACTAAACGGTTAACTAAGACAAGAATGTATGATCGGTTTTGCTGTAAAATCAACCGTTTAGATTTCACAGCCTTCTAAATTTGCAAAAAAGTCAATTTTCAACTATCAATATTTCCGAAACAATTGAAGATAGGTATATGACATTATGCATGAAATATGTCTAGAATTATCCGCAGAATCCAAAAATGTCATAATATACAGGGGCTACTATTTAAAAACATAAAGTTGATAACTGTACAGCTGT